GAAGGGCAATGGCATCCTGGCTTGTATCAGGACTAGTGTGACCAGCAGGACCAGGGAGGTAATCCTGTTCCTCTACTCAGCCTTGATGAGGCTGCACCTCAAGCACTGTGTGCAGTTTTGGGCACCACAGTATAGAAAGGACATTGAGGTGCTGGAGAAGGTGAAGAGAAGGACAGGTAGGCTGATTAGGGGTCTAGAGAACAGGTTGTATGAGGAGAAGCTGAGGGAGTTACAGCTGTGCAGCCTGGAGAAAAGGAAGCTGAAGGGAGACTCCATTGCTTTCTATAACTACCTGAAAGGAAGTTGTGGTGAGATGGGTTTTGGCCTCTAGCGATAGCGACAAGACAAGAGGGCATGGCCTCAAGCTGCTCCAGGGGAGGTTTAGGTTGGATATTAGGAGGTACTTCCTCACAGAGAGGGTGATTACAAATTGGAATGGACTTCCCAGGGAAGTGGTGGAGGCACCGTCCCTGGATGTGTTCAAGGAAAGGCTGCATGTGGCACTTAGTGCCATGGTCTGGCTGATGCAGTGGTGTTAGGTCATAGGCTGGACTTGGTGATCTTAAAGGTCGTTTCCAGCCTGGGTGATTCTGTAAGAAGAGAAGGCTGAGGGGAGACCTTATTAATGCCTATAAGTATCTAAAGTGTGGGTGCAAGGAGAATGGAGCCAGACTCTTTTCAGTAGTTTCCAGTGATAGGACGAGAGGCACAAGCTGGAACATAGGAGGTTCCATTTAAATATGAGAAAAATCTTCTTTATGTTGAGGGTTGGAACAGACTGCCCAGGGAGATCGTGGAGTCCCCTTCTCTGGAGATACTCCAGACCCATCTGGATGCAGTCTTGAGTAATGTGCTCTAGGCAATCCTGCTTCAGCAGGGGAGTTGGACTAGGTGATCTCCAGAGGTGCCTTCCAACTCTGACAGTTCTGTGATCCTATGATCATAAATTCTCACACAGTTTGCACAGCTTTTTTAAATACATAGTACTGTCAAATAGACCAGCCACCTCAGTGAGCTTCTGAAGAAAATGAATGCTCCAGGCTAGTCATAGAAAAAAATAGTCTAAAATAATGTATTAGAATATATTGGATACTAGCATCATGTAAAAAAGAACTAAAACAGACACAAGTGCCTACAGAATTAAAAGTGTAATAAGAAACTAAATTTTTGGGTCATATTTCCATTAAGCTTGCAAGCAGCTGTGAATTAGGTAGTCCTGGTTTTCTGAAGTTGCCAAGGGTTCTTTTTCATTATTTTCCTTTTCTTGGTTTAGTTTTAAATCTGTTTTCTTTCTCAAGTTTTCTGTGTGCTCAAATGCTCACTTTGTGTTGCCATGAGGGTTTGACTAATTAACTCTTTAGTCATTAGCAGAATGATGCATACTGTTGCAACCTCTTTTCATGAATACTAAGAATTCCTTATACCTTTCCTAGTTGGCTGTAAAGAAAAATGATTTATCAGTTAACAAAATTACAATAACAACATGGGAATTAACTTTAAAATGTTGTATGAAAGTCGTGTACATATTGCACAAGGCAAAAGAGATCAAGAAGTATTACTGAAAAAAAGGCGAATCAATACAATTTTAATCAATAGGAAAACAACTGCCGTACTATATAGATATTATATATGAGTTGCCATTTTATCTGAAAAAGTTCACATAAGAAGTCACTTTCTGCGCAGATGCTTTCACTGAAATCTGTAAATGGGACCAACCAGCTCTCAGCTCTGTCCTCCTAGCTTCAAATAATTTGGCCTTCTAGGTGATCATTTAAACTGGCACAGCTTGCTCTCAGTCCACCTGGGGTTCAAGCAGTAGCAGACTCTGCTCTACAGTTGAACATCTTTAGCTAGGAGTTTCTGCTGTTGCCATGAAACCCTTCAGCAACTGCATGTTCAGTCTAGATGGGCAAGGCAAGGCAAGGCAAGGGCAACAAACCTGCAAAGGGTCTCATCAGCTTCATATTAGTCCTAAGTATATACATAACAATGCAGATCAGCAAAATAAAGTCAGCACAAAATAAACTAGGTTAGCAAAGCCTGCCTAGGTTGGGCACCCTTGATTTTAAGAATCCTAAATTGGACCATGTCAATGTACTTAATGCATTAATAGCTTAAACCAGATTTGCTTATTTTTTTCCAAATACCAAGTCTTCAGAAACTGAGATAACTGCCTCACATTGTTAATAAAAATTATTTTACCTGAGTAGTATAGATACTGATGATGGTGTAAGGAAAAAACTTTAGGGAAAATGCTGCTTTTCTTCTGCTTGGCTGATGTGAGGCAGGATGGCCACAAAGAGCTGTTCTCAAAGTGCAGATGGGACACAAACACTATCTCCCCACCCTTTTGTTAACCATAGACTATCAAGGAGATACAGAGCCTTTTGTATAGACCACTGTGCTGCAGGGTGTTCTGGCTCATCCTGTTTCAGTGCATGGAGTTATGTCCTAATAAGAAGTCTGCCCCACTGCATGGTAGCCAGCTACTGAGAGCTGGCTACTGAGAGCCCTTCCGTTGCAAGCGCTAGCATATTATGCTGAGCAATTACAAACTGGTGGTGGTGTCCCCAAGTGCAGCACTGCAATTACTGGGTGTGGGGATAGCTAGCAGAACACATGCTAACTGCAAACCCACAGACATCAACCCCTTCCCTCCTTCACCTCTCTGGAAATTTATTCACATGTCAGTGTCATTAAATGTCTTTGTGTTCCTAAGCCTGCAGGTAGGTCTTTTCTTTGGAACGAAGTATGTGTCCAAAGGGGGCCAGATCCCTAGTTAGTGTATGTGCACACTGAAAGTAACAGATGTGAAAACTGGCCCTGTCTATGCTAGAATACATTCTGGGTTTAGAATACACTCTGGATACATTTGTAATTTAAATGAGGTAAAACATGCCCTGTTTGCATCTGTCGTAGTAGCCTGTGATGCCTATCACTGTAGGCTGTACTTCTGCTATCACTTTCATCTGCCTTAATAATTTCTACCTGATTGTGAATTATTAATCCTCTTTTTGATGATTCTATGTAATTTCTTTTCTGCTGTTGCTTTAATTAGCTGTTTTGCTTTCTGGTGAAGTGCTTGCTGACTTCATTGTACAATCCTTCGCTTAACAGGAGGGGTGTAAACAATGAGAATTTTGACTAACAGTCAAAACTACTCCATTTCCACTACAGCCTGAAAACTAACTTCAAAGATGAGAGGAAAAAAAAACCCAAAAAAACCATAGAAGATTCTAATATCATTAAAGCTGTGGCTGTATCCTGTATCATAAAAGTGGTTCTGTCATTCACTGTGGAAAGACATTTATCCTTACGTGCTTATTAAATAACCTTTTGGAAGCCAGGACTATGTACTCTCTCATATGTGATGGATCACCTTGCAGCTTGGAAAGGCAGCTGCAGCATGAACATGGCTTCTAACTCGCAGCACTTAGTTCCATAATAATCAAGTCACAGAAGCTAAAATAACCAATTTAAAGTCTCCAATCAAGTCATGCTCTCAGCATACCCATTGTGTTAGCAGTAGAGCTGAATGATCATACTGTGCAGCACAGTAACATCTAATAAAAACCTTCAACCACCACATATTTTTTTACATTACTGTATTTTCGATAACATTATTTTATATGATGTTTAAAACATTGAACAAAGAAGTATTTTCAGAGTGATGTTTAACAATTTTAAAACATTGAACAAAGAAGTATTTTCAGAGAGCTGAGAGAGTCTTTTTGGGTTTTGGTGGTTTTTATAACATGCCTGCAGATACTCGGTTGCTCTCTCAGTCTCTGGAATTTAGTTTTCAGTAGAGTTTGTGAATTACTTACAATGTATGTCTGGGATGAGTAGAACCGTGGTCTAGGTAATCAAATCTAATTGTTAAAGGACTATTTTTAGGATTGTGGATGTAGATTTTGGAGATATGTAAGTGAGATGAACAAACAAGATTATAAAAAGTATCTTTTATGTAGAATTGTACTTGTAAAATTTATTAATAAGTGTATTCCTTGTAAATAGTTTCATTTTATCTAATGAGAAAATACCAACAGCAGGTTAATGAGGGAAAAAGACATTTTAAAGAAACATGTTTATAGGCTGAGTTCAATTATGTTTTCTAAATGTGAGAAATCATAAACATTGAGACTGATTGAGTTATTCGCATGGGTTTGAAGTTAAGCTCATATATAAGTGTCTTCCTGAGCTGGAGAAATAAAAAGAAACTTTTCAGTAAGGGCATTTTTTACAAATTACAAATTAAAGTAGAAGAGTTTTATTTATTTACAAGTAAGAGGTTTACTGAATCCAAAAGCATTAGAAATAAATTTAAAGCAGTATGTAAAAATGTCAAGGTACAAACTCAGTGCCAAGAAATATTATTATATCACAGTTCAGATCACCTTTGTTCCAGTATTAAATAATTTTTTAAAATATATAATTTTTTTAAATCGTAAAGATGCTTTTGGAGTTTGGTAATACTTCTTTACACTTTACTTTGGACCAGCTGGAGACAGCATGATGAACATACTTGTTTTCCAAGACAGATGAATTTAAAATTAAAAGCTGTTATTAAAAATATATATAAATAAAATTAATGCATCTTTCTGTGGATAATTTGTGGTCAAATATTGAATAATCTGATACCTTAGTATATGAATTTAATTGAAAATAATTATGCAACCTCTCCACATATTTTCATTATATAAACTGAGAAGAATTACAAAGCTAAACAAAGAGCATACAAGATTTTTAAAAAAAACACATTTAATTAATTTCAATCAATACAAATTGGGTGAATACAGAAAATTAAATGTGTCTTGTTTACCTGGCAAGGTCCTTTGAATTGTTCAGTAATAATGAACACATTTGTTTGCCAGAAATGCAGGATTGCTGTCCAGGTATGCGTTGTTCACATCTGTGTATTAACCATCTGAGCCCCATTAATGACTCCTTGAGCTCTACCTTTTTGATGCATCATAACCTTGCGTTTTCATTCCTTGCAGAAGGGAATCCATATACCTGGTGGGTTGGAAAAGCCAATGAGAAGCACTACTATTGGGGTGGATCAGGACCTGGCATTCAAAAATGTGCCTGTGGCATTGAGCGCAACTGCACTGACCCCAAGTACTACTGCAACTGTGATGCTGACTATAAGCAATGGTGAGTAGCTTGCAAGAAAGCAGGGTGAGAACAATCAGACTCTCCTCAACTTTTACAACTGCTGCCATTATTCTAAATGTCCTTTGTTTTCTCTTTCTCTCTTTCTCTCTTTCTCTCTTTCTCTCAGTATATTCGTGTTTTTACATCAACTGAGCTACAGAAAAGAATGCTAAATTTGCAAAGTTAAGTCTGAATAAGATAGCCCTAGTAGTTGTAATAGTCCATAGTATTTTTGCTTCCCATGCAATTTTGTCTCCATTCACTTATATGACAATCAGTATTTAATTTTATCTCTGCAGCTTCCTTTTTTTCCCCCCACATTTCCTCCTTTGGGAGTCCTATTGCTGCATTTGTCTGTAGAATGTGAGAGATGTGAGCTCAAATCACTTGTCTAGTGACCCCAACCTTCATTTTCCATCTTCTATAAGAACAATGTGTTAAGAACTAGGTTTACAGAGTCTTATGGAATGAGGGTCTGTATTTCACAGGAAATTATTGCACTTTACAGAGAGAGTTAAATATCCATTGGCACAGTGGTTGAGAATGCAAACTTATAGCCCATTCGGGATGAGACAGTGAGAATTGATTGTAGTTTCTTCTCTAATAGTTATTGATTCATCCCAGATGGAACAATTTTAACAGAGGGAGTGAGAAAATCCTACTCCAAAATATTTTACAGCCTGGTAACAGGGGCAGTGTGCTGTGAGGTAATTGATGTGGGTTTAAATCCCTTCAGGCAGAAAAGAGTGTTAAACCTTCATCTCTGGTAATCCCCATAAACACTCTTAACAATGAACCTGCTGCATAAAGCTCATCTTCAATTTGTGTGAGACCCTCTCTGTGCTCTTAGAACAATTCATTTGTAAGGTTTAGCTGTGTCTCTTTTGTCATGACAGGCAGCATCATATTTTACATGGTTCGCAATGTTTGATGACCAGTTGGCACCATGGTTTCATGAACATGTTTTCTATTAATAGCAACGTGTTGGACATTGAATCAGTACTGGTTCATAAACCATTTTGGGTTAATTCAGAAATTTGTACAGCTATTAGTGAATACAGAGCTAAAGAAATCTAATGGTACGTCAGGGGTTTAAAAAACAGATATTGGAAAGAATCATCACAGAATCCTTGAGGTTGGAAGGGACTCCAGTACTCCAGGTGTGGCCTCAACAGTGAGGGAAAGGAGCACCTCCCTCAACTTACTGGCAATACTTTTGCCAGTAAATCACAATACTGGCAATTGCTTAATGCAGTCCAGGATGCATGGGGGAAATAACATTGACATAATAATAATAACAACAACAACAATAATAATAATAATGCAATTATAATAATATAACAACAATAGTTTTTTAAAAATAGAAAATAATATTACTATCATAACAGATATACAGCTGTTTCCTCAGAACTTCAAACAAGAAGACATTTGTACAGTATTTCTCTGGATATGCATCAGGATTTTTCAGGAAAACTAATTTGTATTACAGGATAATTTATTCAAAATAGCTACACAAGTAGAAATTATATTTTAATCCATGATGTGTGAGGAAAACCTCATTATGTTTTTTTTGTTCAAGATTTTGCAGTTTAGTTTTGGCATAATCTAACTCATTCCAAAGTCATACCTTTTAGGTTTTGGGATTATTTTAAGGAGTGCTAATAAGGAATTTTCTCTAGCCAGGCTGATCAACCCCTAAAAAGCAAGTGAGTGCCAGAAGTGAGGAGACTTCACTGGCTTCAGTTATCAGGGCAGAATGATAACCAGAGCCTCCAGCACATCCGTGCTCAATTCTGGTGACAACAAAACAGCTGCTGGTTAGAACTACAGTATCTGCAGCAGCGCCTTTGGAGAATTGCTCTGTGGGGGTGGATTTAGCCTGTGGTAGATTTGGGAGCCCAGAAGGGGCAGAAGCCACTGAGAAGCTCAGAGAGCATCCAAGTGTGGTGAAAGCATGCATCCATCATACTCCAGTTATTGCATAAACTATAGTATATCTTCTAATCCTTAGGTGTGAGAAAGTGTTAGCTGAAGAATACTGGGGGCATCGCTTTGGTACAGAGGGGAGAACGATGCAGGGATCCCCAAGCAAGGACTGACTAAGCACCCTTACCAGGAGAGGTGCCTCGCTGGACCTCCTGCTCACAGAGAAGGATTAGTGGGAGATGTGGCCCTCAGAGGCCATCTTGGGCTTAGTGATCACAAAATGGTGAAGTATTCAATTCTTAGAGATGTAAGGAGGGTGATTAGCAAAACCTCCACCTTGGACGTCTGGGGGGCAGACTTTGGCCTGTTCAGGACACTTATTGAGAGAGTCCCTTGGGAGACAGTCCTGAGAATCCAGGTAGGACTTCTGCAGTAACTGTATATCTTGGCCATACCTGAGAGCACTGCATTTGATTGTGGTATGACTACAATGATTTTCTCTTCCTGGCTAGGCAATGTGAAAAAAAAAGTTTATATCTGGGGTGGGATTTTTTGTGGGGTTTTTTTGTGCTTTTTTTGTTTGGTTGTGTTGGGTTTTGGGGGGGCAAGGGTGGTAGGGAGACACAGTAATGAGAAGGCAGTAGCTACAGCAACAGCAGTATTAGAAAAGTAAAGAAGTAACATGGGAAAATAAGTCTGCTGAGTAGAAATTGTGGGAATGAAAGGTAAAAAGGAAAGGTTCAGAGCAGAGATTCGGATTTTGAAGCTTAGGGTAGTCTCTTTAAAGAAGTCTGGGGACACACTGAAAAGTTGGTAAAGCTGAATCAGAATGATGCAGTGCAAGTAGAATATTGTCTGCATTTTTTATTGTAGAAGTTATAAATGGTGTTAGAAATGAATAAAGGAATTGCAGTCTGATGAATGATCTTGCAGGAAAGGCAGGAGAATGCTCCCCTAAGGAACTGTATTCTAATTCTGTTTCTGGAACCACATTTCTGCATGATGCTGGCCAAGTTTCATAAGCCATTTCTTCACAGATCAGTCATTAGTTTGCTCCTAATTTTCTGGGTACCTAACTGAAAACCCAGAGGTTTGTGGAAATACTGAACATTCACATCAACTGGAGTAAGTGATCACTTTCTCTGAATGTATCTATTTTTGTCCACTAAAACAAGCAGCATCTCAGATTGAGCACTATAAATGTATATGTGCTTTTAATCTTAGCATCTTTCAGCCTTAGCATCCAATCTGTAGAATGGAGATGGTGCCAGACACTCACCTCACAGAGCTATTGCAAAGCTAGGTAGATTTATGAAGCAGCCATCCACTGTAGTGCTCAGCACTACAAAAAATCCATTGAGTCTGTCTGAATAAAATAGAAGAGAGCATTCCCTAAGTTGTAGAGCTATTCAGTGCATGCCTGGTGTGCTGATTGTTGGACTTGTGTGGTAGAAAAGCAAAATGGTAGATATTGGCAGGTAATGTGAGATACGGAATTCAAAGTCATGTGTATCTGCGTGCATAATCTCAAATAGAATCAGATTCTTAAGAGAAGGCCATGTTATTGCTGCATTGTAAATATTAAGTCATTATTTTTGTTATAATAAAGAAACAGAAACACAGTTGGGAAGAGAAATCCTACCAAAATGAACCTTAGTCTCAGTTTATGCATGATTTGTGTCCAAAAAGCCATCCGTTCAGAGGTAAGTGAATCAGATCATTAAAATTGCCAACTTTGCTTTCTAACAAAAGTAATTTATTAATGAGCATGTGGTTGACATTCAACATCAGATTGCCTCAATCCTGAGAGAATAAATTCTACTGAGGTTACTGTTGTTAGTAGCAAGAGGTTCTCTAGGTCGCTGTTAAAATCTTCTTCAAGTGAATAATTTTAGGTAAAATATAACACTTTTTGAAAATATTGTTGTTGTTGTTGCTGTTGTTATTAAACATTTATGCAGTTCCTTTAAAAATTGCTGACATTGTAGAGATAGATAAACTGTGCCAATTAAGGAGCAAATGTAAAGATCTGCAAAGAAATTTTGGTTCCTGTTCCCCTTTAACTGTAAAGTCAGTTAAACACCCAAATTGTCCAAAGTTTCTACACCACAGGCTCCTTACTTCTTACGTAGCAGACACAATACGTGAGAAGACATAATATGATGCTGTTCCTGGATTTACTAGGACAAGGTGACATAAGAATCTTTTTCCCTTAGAACCTCCTGATGAGGATGCACTTCAGGTTACTAAGTAGGGCAAGGACTTCACTGCCAACTATTGATGTGACTTCTAATCTTTCAAGACTATTTGGTGGCCCCACAGATGATGAAAAGGGATTAAGGAGAATTTTAAGATAACAGTGGTTTGAACAAATAGAGGAAATGAACAATGAGAACATAAGGAGGGAGCCTCATTTTCTTGCTTATCCTCTGGCACAGTTTGGAAATTAGTGTTTCTTTCTCCAGAGCCTGCAAAATTACTTTATTTCTGTGCAGTGTTTGCCAGAACATTCTGCAGGATAGATGGCCTCTTCCCTTCACAACTCTTCTCCTATAATGTGAGTTTCAGAAGAAAGTTTCAGGTCACCAGGAATTATTAAACAGGGCTCAGATTGACATGAGTTGCTTGAGTGACAGGAATATAGGTGGACATTGAAATGCCAGGCTGTGGCTCTGGCTCTGGCTCTGGCAGGTAGGTCATTTGTAGACAGATCTAACAGGATATTAAAGGCTCCTGCAACTATCGGTAGACATCAAGCTTTAAGTATAGTATGTACTAATTCCCATTGAAATAATGGTATTTCAGTTCCTGACTCCCTTAGGCTCTTTTGAAAATCCATCTGTCCATTAACCTTGTGCAGTCTCAGTAACAGAGCTGCTGATGCACAGTTACATGACACTGGCTTCTCCTGTCCTTCATTAGAAGCTGCTAATGATTTCTTCAGACACTTTTTTGCCATTACTTTCCCATTTAGGCAGCAAGTGGAGTTTCCATAAAGGTGTTATGTGATAAAAAATTACTAGGTTGTCTGTTCTGTGTGAAAAAAACAAAACAAAACCGAAAACCAAAGGGAG